CTAATAAAGTGGCCGGTGAGTGTATATATATATATACTGTATATATATATATATACGTATATTTGTGTTGATAAGCCTGAGTGGTCTGTTTGTATTTGTTCAAATAATTGTTATGGGCAGGTTCCAATATAAAATGTTTGTCATAATCATGTCTTGTGATTATTTGACAGGTGTTTAACTTTTAAACTGTAAGTGTATTTAATTTAGTTATGTTAGTTATGATAGTTTAGTTCTAATGTAAATACAATAAAAACTAAACCAAGATTTAGAATAATTATCATTTTGATCCATACATTGGTAATGTGTGACTGGGCCTCGTTCCACTTTATGTTCAACAAATTGGGCCCCGAGGTCAAAAAGGTTAAGAACCCCTGACTTAGATCCTCCTCCAACCCACATTACAGAAAGTTTTTTCACATGTAGGCACAATATTTTGATCACGCAAAGAGGAGAAGCATCCATGTCCAAGTCAGTGTACAGGTCTCTCTGGATTCATATGGATTGTTTGTTTGCTGCTTTCCTCATTTAGGTGTACGCCATGTTTCAGGTGAAAACCCATGGCAGTGTTTGTACACGAGGCCCCAGAAGAGCACCACAAAGCCCTGTCATCAATGCTTCCAGACTCAGACTGAAGTTTTAGTCGTTCCATGACTCACAGAATCAGAACCAACTCTACAGGTTCTCTTCAATAAATCTAAACCCAGCTGTTGTGATGACTGACTCACTGCTGGGAGCATGTCACAGCGTGTGTCGACTCACGCTGTCTTCTTGTGCTGCAGCCAGCTCTCGTGCTTAAAGTGCAGCTTCTCCAGATACTCCAAAGGGATTTCCTGCTCCTCCTGTCTGCCTCGCAGGTGTAACCTCTCCAAACATTTCTGCTCGGAGACGAGAGAGAGAGCAGACGTAACATGTTAACAACAGGCACAACCGTTCACAGACGTTGGTGAGAACACAGGGAGTACCTCTGGTGACGCTCTGAGGTAAATGATACCATCCAGCTGGATGTGCTGGACGAACTGGTTGTGGAGCCAGCTGTGCAGGTCCTGGTAGATGGACCATTCAGTCTCATTCAGGCACTCGCTCTCATAAAGGTTGGAGGCAAAGATGTACCTGAGACATGAGGAGACAGGTGAGACTAGTGTTTAAAAACATGCAGGTTTAACGGGGTTCATGCAGGTTTCAGTAAGTTAAATTTAAGACCTTTTAAATTAAGTAGGGCTGCCACAAATGATTATTTTTATAATCGATTAATCACAGATTATTTTTTCGATTAGTCGACTAATCAGATCATACATTAATTGAATATAAAACATACAGCTTATCACGTCAGAATGCAGCTGCTGTTATATAACCATGGTTAGATTTTAGCTATGTGCTAACTAAAAATAATTGCTGTGGAAGGTAAGTTCTGCTCTGCAGATATTGCACAGGTTTCTCTTTCATTTTCTTAAAATGATCCCACACTTTTGAGCTCHGTTGTCAGGTAGCCATGATACCAGAGCCTGTCTGTATAATGTCTTGTGACGTCCACGGCCTACCCCAGTTACCACTACTGTGCATGTGTGTCAAGGACCGACCCACCCACTCACTTACTTACAAAAGTAGAAGAAATTAAGACCTGACAAAATTAAATTTAAGACCTTAGATGAAAATCTAGGCGTTTTTAAGACTTTTTTTAGGCTTTAAATTTTGATTTTCATATTTTATACTTTTTCTTAGACTTTTTAAGACCCGACATAACGTTTCATATAAAATCAGAATCTGTTGAAACAGTGACAGTGGTGTATCATGTCAAATTTCTAAAGAAACTATTATCTCTACTTGCATTAAAATGTTGCTTTTCAGCCACTTCCCTTTGAATCCTAAAAACATGAGTAGTCAGGAAAGTCCTACCGATGGGTTTGAGTTTTTAGAACTACCATTTATCCTTGGATGTACAGAAATATAAACTAAGACATGAGCACAGACTCACCTGCATCATAACACACATGTTCTGAATGAGTCCAGTCAAAGCCTGGTACCTGTCACTGTAAACGGATCGCTCAAAGAACTGCACGGGGTTCTGTGCCACGCTGAGCTTCCTGCTGGCGGCTCTGGTCTGGGCACGGATCCGGCTGACGCAGGCGTAGCTCTGGAAGGTGTAGGCCCACCGCTCTGGCTTCTCATACATCATCTGCAGCACGTTCCCTCCACTCCTCTGAGACGTGGTCAGCTCCTGAAACACGAGGCGCCATGAAACCCTTTCCAGCTCCGAGGATCACCTCCTGAAGAAAGTCTCATGAGCTGAGTTTGATTTTTGTTCAGTTCAGTCTTGATAATTGTTTTTGCCTCTGCTTTGCTACCGCTCCTTTTCATTTTCAGCCTGTTTTTTTTCTCTCCCAATTTAGCACTTAGCTTTTCAGCTAACTTCAGCTCTCCGTGTTTTTTTCTTCTTTGTGAAATCTGCTTCAGGATTTTTGCTCCTTTTTTATTTACTTATACTATTCATTTTAGCTAATTTCTTATTATTTTACTTTTAGGTACAATTTTGCAGTGTTGTATAAAGTACCTCAAAGTGATATAAAGTGAATATATATATATACAGTATATTGAAATGATCAAGTTAAACCTGTGAGTATTGCGCTGCTGCTCTGCAGCTGTTCACAAAGTGAAAAATAATTACTCAAGTAAAGTTCAGATATCCAAAATTTCTACTTAAGTACAGTAACAAAGTATTTGTACTTAGTTACTTTACAACTCTGCAATTTTGCTAGTTTAAGCTTTTAGCTGCATTTAAGCTAATGCTAGTTTTAGCTATGGTTTTGCTGTTTGAATGTAGCTAGTTACAGTAAATTTAGCTTTTTACTAATGTTTTACTAATCCCAGTTTCAGTCTACTGACTGGGTTTAAATTTAACTACATTTCTGCTTCACAAATTTCATCAGAACTGCACTCAGTGTGTATTTTATTTATTTATTTATTCAGRAAATGTGAATTTCTCTAGCTGTCTTCTTATCTATTATAGAGACTTTGTTGTGTTGTTCAACCTTTTCGACCTGTTTACTAAAAGTCTTAGTCTACATTTAGGAAGTCATACAGATCAAATCTTTTAAAGCTAATTTTTGTAGTAAAAGCAGTAAAATGGACCATCACCAGCAGGAGACGCCTGCCCATAAATACCCACTGATTGTATGGGAAAAGGAGGAGTTTTAGACGGCTCCTGAATATTTCACTGTTAAGCTGACTCAGCATTAACCGGATACTTCATATCACAATAACTACACAAGTTTTTAAAATTAAATCCCAAAAACTCTTCTGTCACAATTATGTGCAAATATTTTGTTATTAAACATAAACAAGGTAAGATGAATGGGTTCAGAAAGACCAAAGTTGATTTTAAAAATGACGCAAAAACAAATATTACTGCATTGTCTCGTCTTTATATATATATATATAT